GTATTTCTGTTGGAGTTCCACAGGGATCTATTTTGGGCCCGCTCCTATTTTTGATTTATATAGATGATATGTCAGAACTTTTGAAACATGGAAAAATTGTAATGTATGCCGACGACACGACACTTTATGTAAGTGGACCCACCTTTTCGGATGTACAAATTAAATTGCAAAGTGATTTTAATGTTATATGTAGATGGATAAAATGTAATAAACTCTATTTGAATGTTGATAAAACCAAATTTATGATCATCGGAAGTAAACAAAGATTAAACCATTTTAAAAATGACAGTATTACATTAAAGTATGAAGATATATGTGTTGAACAATGTAAGATCTTTAAATGTCTAGGTATTATGATCGATGAAAACTTATTATGGTCTGATCATGTAGATTATTTATGTAGAAAAGTGTTTGCCGGACTTGCCATGCTTAGAAGAGTTAAACCATACGTAGATGACATTTCATTGAAATTATTATACACATGTCTCATACAATCACAAAATGATTATTGTTGCGAAATTTGGGGAAACAGGTTTTTAAGTCATATAGATAAGATAACTAAACTACAAAAGAGGGCTGCAAGAATGATTTTAAACTGTAATATGTATACCCCATCAAAGGAATTATTTACTCGCATGAAATGGATACCATTTCAAGAGAGGGTTAAATATTTTAGATGTGTATTTGTTTTTAAATGTCTTAACGATTTATCTTCAGACTTTCACAAAGATGTTTTTCAAGAAGTATCAACTCAAGATAATTTTTACACACGGCAATGTACTCGTCATGACCTGATTATTGATAAATGTCATACTGAATACCTTAAGAATGCAATAAGTTATGATGGTGCTTCTCTATGGAATAAATTAACTTCTAATATTAAGCAGATAAGTAATGTAAAGACCTTCAAATTGGCACTTAAGAAATATTTTTCCACCTTGCCGTTGAATCAGGATAGGTTTTGAGGAACACCTTTTTTAAATTATTTTTTACTGCTAGTCTGCCTCTATTTTTCTTTAAGCTCTCTCTCTCTCGCTTCTTTTACTTAATCCTTTACTCTCTTAGCAAGTGATCTATTTATAATAGCATTCATCATAATTGACACTGATTAATATGTTTGATATTGTATATTTATTTTCAATATGTAATACTTTTCTATTTATGTATTCATACCTAATTTTTTGTTTTATCTTTTTAATTGTAAATACATGTTTTACAGGGCCTCATGGAAGACCAACTTTTTGTTGAATGGGCTACCCTGGTGAAATATAAATAAATAAATAAAAATATGACGGTCCCGGCCGTGATTTATCCATGGTTGGTGTAAAAGATATTTTTTCCCTTTCATTTCTACTTACCTAATTGTGTGCTATCACAATCATGATTGTTTCATTTTCCCTTTAAAGCAGGCGCGTAGCTTGGGGCGGTAGGGGCAGTAAGAGGACATAGGACGAAAAAGGAGCAGACAAAGAAACATTTTTGAAAATTCTGACAAGTCGAGAACAGTACCACGAATCGTCTTCTTTCTCTAATAATTTAATGAAATGTCAAAAGTTCCGCGCATCGCTCGGGAGGGGGGCAACTAAATTCAGACAAGGATTGGGAGTCAAGAATGGTGAAACGAATCATCTTCTTTCTCTAATAATTTAATGAAACGTCAAAGCTTCCACGCTTCCACGGGGGAAACTGCATTCAAACAAGGATTAAGAGTCACGAATCGTCTTCTTTCTCTAATAATTTAATGAAACCTCAAAGCTTACGCGCTACGCGCGGGCAGGGGGAAACTGAATTCAGACAAGGATTAAGAGTCACGAATCGTCTTCTTTCTCTAATAATTTAATGAAACCTCAAAGCTTAAGCGCTACGCGCGGGCAGGGGGAAACTGAATTCAGACAAGGATTAAGAGTCGAGAATGGTACAAAGAATCGTCTCCTTTCTCTTATAATTTAATGAAACGTCAAAGCTTCCGCGCTTTGCGCGGGAGTAGGGGGGGGGGCGGGAACTCAATTCAGACAAGGATTAAGAGTCGAGAACGGAACAACGAATCATATTCTTTCTCTAATAATTAAATGAAACGTTAAGCTTACGTGCAAAGCGCAGGAGGGGGGCTGAATTCAGTCAAGTAATAAGAGTCGAGAATGGTACAACAAATCTTCTTTCTTTAATAATTAATGAAAGGGCAAAGCTTCCGCGCTTCGCTCGGGCGAGGGGAAACTGAATTCAGACAAGGATTAAGAGTCGAGAATGGTATACAACGAATCGTCTTCTTTCTCTGATATTTAATGAAACGTCAAAGCTTCCACGCTTCGCGCGAGAGGGGGGTGGGGGAAACTGCATTCAAACATGGATTAAGAGTCACGAATCGTCTTCTTTCTCTAATAATTTAATGAAATGTCAAAGCTTCCACGCTTCGCGCGAGAGGGGGGGGGGAACTGGCTTCAAACAAGGATTAAGAGTCGAGAATGTTACAACGAATCGTCTTCTTTCTTTATTAATTTAATGAAATGTCAAAGCTTCCGCGCTTCGCGCGGGAGGGGGTAAAGTGAAATCAGACAAGGAATACGAGTCCAGAATTGTACAACAAATCGTCTTTTTTCTCTAATAATGAAAGGTCAAAGCTTCCGCGCTTCGTGCGTAATGGGGGGGGGGGGGGGGGGGGGGGGGGGGGGGGGCGGGGGCGGGACAGCGAGCTGCCCGAATATGAGTTTTTGATATCTTTTCTCGTTTATTTTGGTGATAAATAACACTTTCACAAAATACATATTACGCTCAAATTTTTGCTCGCTCGCTTCGCTCACTAGCCGAATTGTGAAACCAGAAAATTACTTTTTCGGGCAAGAGGCTATACTCCCCCCCCCGCCCCCCCCCCCCCAGAGATAAAAATGTCAAAAATTGTACCGGTATGGTTCTTCTTAAAATGACCTTGAAAAAACGGTCTGCACAATTATCAAATTTCCGCCCCCCCCCCCCCTATTGGAAAATCCTGGATCCGCGCCTGCGTTAGGGACTTTTAGATTCGCACGAAGACAATGGGGATTGCTACGATCGACGTCCTTTTAATGCACTGCCTTGAGTGAACGTCACACGTATCAGTCCACGCAAATCTAAAAGTCCCTATCATAAGTCTTGCTCAGACGGAGGCAAGTTATCCCAGGGTAAAGGTCGTGTTAAGAGCTATTCGGGGAAAAAAATGGTGAGGTAGGTGTAAAGGTCGGAGTATTGACTGTCTGAACTATGGTCGGTGGAATGTTGTGTTTATCGTACGTGGCAATTTGGTCCGAGTAAGAGCGTGTAGACAGCTGTAATGGAGTCTAGCAAAACCCCGTCTGCATCAAAAGGATTAATACTTTACTGAATAGGGACTCTAGCTATACGTAATGGCTTTCTTCGCTCTACTGATCTCGAGGCAGCAGACAGCAAAAGGTTGTGCAAATAATAAAAGGTCTACTATACAGGAGTGTTTAAGATTAGAAGCTTCAACTTTATTCAACTCAAACTCTCTTTAATTTTACACAACTAAAGGTTGTATTGGGAACCACTTCTGTCTTTATGGATGGGGTGCAGGGGGAGAGCCTTTGCCAGGAGTCTGGGAGAGGGTAGAAAGAACTGCCAATGCCCACATTTCCTGAAACATCACGGAGTACAGAAGAAGAACTTATCAATTGCAATCAGCACTCCAAATCCTTTGAAATGTCTGCACTTCTAAATGTCCGATCACTTTTGTCAAGTTGATATACCGAGATACTGGCCAAAATTAGAGGACGAAGATATCTCAAAAAAGCCCTTTTTCGGCTCAACTTTATATTTTACACACTACATAACTCAATGAAATTGATATTAACTTGAAGGTATTTTGATTATCGATCTTTAGAGACTCAATCCATGGTGACGGTGATTACGGTTTCACTTAAAAGATATCTTTAAAACTCGATGTTAACACACCAAACACGTCCTCAATATACCAATACACAATATGCCACTTAATAACAAAAAATGGGCAAAAATTTCGTTTTTGTGGAAATAATCAATAACTTTGGGTTGCTATAACTTTTCACTAAAAAGAGATATAAGCCTCTACGTTGCACAGGATATTGTCCTCGTACATTGGTCAATTCCTGTTAAGTAAGGTAAAAGGGTTATTCTCTAATTTCGCTATATGGAAAATAACGGTTTCTGATTAAATTCAATATTTCGAAAAATGTCAAAAACAACTTTTGTTTTTTACTTAGATTATCGATGTTTAATTATCTCAATTCTGTTGATAATGGTATCGAAATGTACATAACTTAATTTTCTTACATATGACACCAGATTCATGGTGGTTTAAGGTTTCTTTAAAATATTATTCACAAAATACTATTTTTCGTCAAAGTCTCTTTTTTGGACGTCCCCTCCAATTTAGGGATGTACGCTACAAAGAAAAAAAAACACCTCTTACATATTGTGTATTATGATACAATCTTTCGAAAGAACAAGGTGTGCTTAGTTTGTGTGGAAGTGGCAGGCATACCCCTCTTTTCCCACTTTGGCCCTCCGTTATAAGAGCGGATCCGGATTTTCTTATAAGGTGCACTAATCAGAAAGTATGGTAAAGATTATTAAATTTTTCAAGTGCTAACATTTGTAAAGGGAGCATAGGCACTACTTTAGTGTTGGGTTTCAAAAGAAGGCGAGGGGGTGCACGGATCGGTCGTGGCCGTGGTTGTGGTTGTGATATCATTCACAGTTGTCTGCCCCCATATAAATTCATATTCGAAATTCATTGATTTCACTCCAAACAAATAGGATCATTCTCAATTTTTGTTTGAACATCGGATGACAAGTTTCAAACTAATAGTATAACGTAAATAATTTAGTGTAATGGTAAAGATAACAATGACCAGGAATGACACAAGTTAACATACTACTGTATGTCTCTTCTGAAATACAATACAGGGATGAACATAAATTATATTACCGTACAAAGAATATAACTTGAAGGGAAACGAGAAAACGCTTACCATGATCATTCCCGTTGCCTCTTTGAAAGCGGGAACATACATGTCTCGCTTCCTTTGGAGCTCTTCCTGTCGTTGAATCACGTTTTCGTCGTCCTGAGGAAGCACCGCGTCGTCCTCCTTCACCTTAATCGGGCATCCAGCACGAACCCATCTATGAATTGGGAACATGTGGACCTGGTTGGTCTTCTCGTTTATCACCCTGACGAATTCACAGTACCACTTGTCATCGATTAAACCACACTTGTCCCGCCGGAGCTCCATGTAGACAGGGTCCCCAAAATTCCCATCCTTAATCGCAATCTTGAATTTATCCAGCTGGTCGGTCTCGAAGTCGTTCTTCAGGAGGTTGTTGAGCTTGCACTTGGGGGACCTGAGTCCGCTGTCATCTTTGAGGACGACCGAGATTGTATCGTCGGTGCCCATGCCCAGACGGTCACCCGTTTTCACGTAGACGGTGAAATTCCTCTTCGAAGGTTTGTTCCCCATGTTAGCTAGAATACGAAGGTAGGCCGACGAAGGAAAGCCACATGAAGATGATATTCAAAATATACAATCGAACACCCGGACCTATCTTGAAATAAGGATACGTTAACCCGTTGAAAGAACTGAACTGTCCGATGTACGAAATACAAGTAGGTTGGCTTTGCTAACTAAAGCGTGATAGTGCTTACGTCATATAACCTAATGCCCTACTGCGTATCCGTTTTTGTTCCACATTTCTCAAGAAGGCAACCTAAGTGTATTACAAACCATACCTCAAGCTACCGAGCAGAATTATTAGCAATAACAATCGCCCTAGTATGGATAGAACAACTAAACCTGCACGCAGGGGTAGTCACATTCACAGATTCACTCAGCGCACTCATACAGAGGCATTCAAGTAGATCTAGAATGAATCCCCTCCCCTTGCGGAATAAAGGAAAACGAAATAGCTGGCCTAATTCTCGCGAAACAAGCACTAACTGATCGAGATACAAATAAATAACATGTTATGTTTATCTGAAATGAGAGCACTTTTTTGTGTGTGTCCTAACATTTGGCCGATCGATATTTTGTTTCGTTGGGGGAGGGGGGGGGGGGGGTAAGGTCCGCCTTTTTTGGTCACCCATTACCACAATTTTGTTTGTTTGTTGTTGTTTTTATACAAGAAAAATTGAAGGGGGGGTTTCCTCCAAAACACACACATACAAAAGTTTAAGGGGGGTTCAACCCAAACCCCCCCCCCCCCCCCCCCTGCGTACGCGCCTGAAGAAAACATATATATAGGACCTTTCAAACCTCTTTTGAAATAAGGAAATCTCAACCTGTTGAAAGTACACGTAGGTTGACTTTGCTAACTGAAGCTTGTGATAAAGACTCACCTCACCTCCCTGATTATTCCAGAATCTGCACGGTCCTTTATAATTTTCCTACACACTTGATTCAAGCCGTCGAAGATGGCGTTATCAACAAACTCATAATTATGCTCACCAGCCCAACCTTTCGCCGGGCTTTCTAATTTAATGATCACGCCATCATCGGCTGGTAGCAAGTAAGTAGGGATTAGGTAGCGTTTGTGTGGTGGAGATCAAAATTAAATAGGCCAGATTCTGGACTACTCCCTGATATGACCCAGTGCTCTGCTTTACAGATCACACTTCGAATAGAAAGCATGCGGCCCTCCCCCTTGTGGTGTTCTTTTCAATGGTGCCTCGTCAAGATTGAGCATCACTAGAGCCGAGGCTTTGAGGTGTAATTAACATCACCCCCATTGAAATTGGGGTCAGCAGTTCTATATGATCCTTTATATAGCATGTCGGAGAAATAGCCAAAATTGTTGAAGTATCCTTTATTTAACTGCATCAAAATGAATTACTATATGCCACAGACATCAAAGCAAAATAAAGAGTAAGCTCTTTTTCCCCTTGTCAATAACAAGGGAGCTTTCAATATATTTTATACCCGGGCCCACGTTATGGAATATTTAGTATCGGCCCTTTACATAATTCAGTCTCTTTGCAAACGAATTTTGTTGAAATGTAAAAGTAATATTTCATTGCTGGCTAAACGAATTTGTTAAGCATTCTAGTTCGTAGATACAATCTGCGCATGAGCCGATAAAGGTCATTTGTGATACAATTGTAAAACCCACCGAGATGAATATTACGTGCTCATGTAATGTAATCATTATTCATTGGTGCACTAAAGTACATTCTATGATACAAGAGGGCCAACAAAAGCTATTCATGAAGCACATACATGACTTTGGCATAGATTATTCTAAAATACACAAAGTGGGACTTCTCCATGAGTAATGCTATGGTCACATTACCCAAAAGTAGCCTGCTCGGTGGCCGAGCGGCGACTTTTTAGCCAATTTTTCCCGGCCACCGAGCGGAAGCCGCCAAGCTATTACTCGGTCGCTGCTGAAGTTTTATCAGGGAGTTAAAATTCGGGCGGCGCCTGCTCACTTTTACTCGCCGCCCAAACTACGCTCGGTGACCGGCATTCAAAACTGCAAAATATCAGCCCAAATAGGGGGGGGGGGGGACAAAAAAATAAAAATCGATCGTCCGACCCAGGTTCTGGCACCTAAAGGGCAATATGACATCTTTTTTGTTTAGGCCCTATTATGAAAAGGGTATAAGATACAGTCTAATGAAAACTTGAAAACGACGCATTGGTCTCTGAAGGGACGTTTTAATTGTGGTCACAAATATACAAAAGTTACCTTTTTTGATGGTTCATTATTGAAGGAAAAAATATTATCTAAAGATCATAACTGGAAGACCAATGGTGAGAGCAACCACTGGCATGAATGGCCTGCCATAGTTAAGTCCAACTTAAAGTCAATCTTAGTCTTTGTGAAACAAACCCCCTGATGATGTAAATTTTTGTTCCGTCTGCTGCCGGTCTGGATGGCCCATGCATACTGTCCTTTTAATATGCGTTTTAATTCTTTTTTAACGAGTCCGTTTATTCTCCCGAAAGGCTTGAGAGCATCTTTTTTGTAACAAAGGATGTGCTTGGCAGCGACTTATATTTACATGATTGATCACCCTGGGAATAATTGTCCTTGAATCCTTTGTGATGCAGTTGAACGAAAAGATACTTCATATACAATTTTGTCATTTTATCAACACGCTATGAAAAGGATCATAAAACTGCCGACCGCAATTTTTATACACCCCAATGCCCCGGATCAAGGGATGCTCAATCTTCACGAGGCACCATTGAAAAAACAAGAGGCCCCAAGGGGGATAGGGGCGTGCTTTTCATTTGAAATTTTCAAAACTTGGTGAAGTGTGATATAAAGAGCAGAGCACTAGGTTATACATGACATAATTGCTATCAAGTTCAGCTAGCAAAACCAACCTCCGTGCATTTCGTAGATCGGAAAGTTTTTTTCAACAGGTTAAGAATTTCTTATTTTATGAGAGGTCCGGGTGTTCGATTGTATATTTTGAATATCACTTTCAGGTGTCTTTCCTTCGTCGGCTTTCGTTCGTATTCATGACACCATCGCGTTTAAATAACAAATTCTAGTTAACATATTGAGGAAATTGTTACCAACATGTGGAACCTATTTTCGAAGAAGAATTTCACCGTCTACGTGAAAACGGGTGACCGTCTGGGCATGGGCACCGACGATACAATCTCGGTCGTCCTTCAAGATGAGAGCGGGCTCAGGTCCGGCAAGTGCCAGCTCGACAACCTCCTGAGCAACGACTTCGAGTCCGGCCGGCTAGATAGCTTCCAGATTGCGATTGAGGATGGGAATTTTGGGGACCCTGTCTATCTGGAGCTCCATCGGGACAAGTTTGGTTTCCACGATGACGAGTGGTACTGTGAATTCGTCAGGGTGCTGAGTGAGAAGACCAATCAGGTCCACATGTTCCCAATTCATAGATGGGTTCGTGCTGGATGTCCGATTAAGGTGAAGGAGGACGACGCGGTGCTCCCTCAGGACGACGAAAACGTGATCCAACGGCAGGAGGAGCTCCAAAGGAAGCGAGACATTTATGTTCCCGCTTTCAAAGAGGCAACGGGAATGATCATGGTAAGCGTTTTCTCTTTTTTTTCAAGTTATATTCTTGTATGGGGAGTAGGGAGGGGGGAAGTCGAAAAATCTCCGGTAGACAAATAAGGGGGAGGGTGATATCCCCCGGGGATATCACAACCACGGCCACAACAAATCCTTGCACCCCCTCGTCTTCTTTTGAAACCCAAGTGGTAAACACAAACCTACACTAAAGTATGTTCCTTTTACACATTTTAGCCCCCGAAATTTTTTTAAAAAGTGTCGCGGGTGAGTTGTGCCGCCCTCCTTAGTGGCGGATCTTGGGGGTGGGGGGCCCGGGGGCCCGCCCGCCCCCCCCCCCCCTTGAGAAAAAAATAATTTATAATCACGTGATTTTTACCTTTTTGGGGGGTTGGGGCCCCCTGGCGCTCAAGGGGGGGGGGGGGGTGAAAATAATAACATTTTCGAGGACGCCCCCCCCCCCACTGAGTGACTTTTCGGCCGGCGCGATTTTCAAATTTTTGGGAGCAAAAAAAAAGAAGAAAAGTTGGCCCCCTGCCCTAAGAAATCCTGGATCCGCGCCTGGACCTCCTTATCACATAAGTAAGGCCAAAACAATTTGGGTGTCCTCGATTGCTTTTCTGAAGTAGGGACGGGCGGTCGGATCTTTTTTTTTTTATTAACAAAAATAAAAAAATCATTGAGATGTCAAGCATTTAAAAAAAACGAAGTCGATAAACCACTTTAGTATGGTCAAAGACTAGTTTAATATCATCTTTTATAACATATGTACAAGGAATATCAAAACCAACACAGAAAATATTTTGGCTTTAAAGTACAGCACCTTTTAAAAATGAGTTTACGAACTACCAGAACCTGATTTGAATGAATGGCATTTTGACATAGAAAAATAAAAATGGCAAGTAAATACAGAATTGCGTACTGAAAAGACCAAACTGGCAACGGGAAGCTTTTCGATCCTTGTAAAATGCATACAATGGAATGTAAGCGGGCCTAAATTGACAAGCGGGCGGTCGAGGACAAGAAAATGATTTTTTTTTTGCCCAATGAACAGTGAGACCAGGGGCGTCCCTTGTTTGTGATAGGAGGGGGGGGGGGTGTATCAACCTGTAGCATTTTGTCGTCAAATTACCTTCGTTGTCTTTAAATTGTAACAGTCAAATATGTTTACTTTTCTGACAAACTAAACACAAGTAAACTAGGCTAATGACCGCATTGGTTGATGCTCTAAATTTTCCGCAAATCTTTCTCTGACTCGCAGTCCAATCGATAAAAATGCTCTGAATTGCGATCCCCCTAGTAAACGTTGCTTTATGAACGTTCAAAATCAATAATGTTTTCACACTGGCAAAATTTTGCTTAACCCCGTACTATAGGTGGGGTTAAAGGGAGACTTAGCCCTACCTATAGTCCGGGGTTAAGCTTATTCCACTTTCTTTTCACACTGGCAAAATGTTGCTTAGCCCCGTACTATAGGTGGGGTTAAAGGGGGGGGGGTTAGCCCTACCTATAGTCCGGGGTTAAGCTTATTAGGAAACTCATTCGAACCAGAGAAAGGGGAAGAGAGAGAGAGAGAGAGAGAAATACAGAGAGAAAAAAAATCATGTAAAATGGCATTGAATTCAGCTTCTGCAAATATTACATAACCTGTCTACTGGCCGAATGCTCTTTGTTTCTTGTCTTTACATTCTCTTCATTTTTGTTGGTTGACCTCCATTTTTGTTGACTCTTTTAGAAGTTACATCTGATTTTCCTTTTCTAAACTTACCACTGGTCCACTGCAATACATATCCTGCCAATTTGTTCGGGTAGATGAAGAAATTTAATCAATTCATTTCCGTTGAAGCAGAAACAAAGCCAAGGTGTATCTTTTATATGCATACTTTGACCCAGAATGTTATTTCTAAAAATGCAACGCGTGAGAAAACGAACCCATGACTGATTCGTTTTTTGTTATACATTTGTTGTGATGGTAGGGGAGCTTGCAAGATATGTCACAGATTTGCCAATTTGTGTTTGATTGATCGCACCTTCAACAAAATCATAACTTTCTTATTTTTAATCGGTTTTAGCTCAAACTTTCACTAATCTTTTCTCTTTCATTTTTCTGCTTACATCAAAAACAACTTGATATCAGGGTGAACCTCCCCTTCAGGAATCGTAGTTTTAGTTCTGTGGCGGTCATGCTGCCCCCACTGTTATTAAATAACGGCGCCATTGTGAAATTGACAATGCGACGTTTAAAAGGAACGTAGAAAGAAAAGAAAGAAAAATTAAGAAGGAAAACAAGAAAGAAGAAGAAATAAGGATTTTGGCTGACACAAACTGTCTTACATGTATAGGCCTACTGCAAAATACTAGGTTACCTAATGTAAATGAGATTTCGGTCTACTTCAATGCAAAAATTCAAATCGTATCGTTATATATCATGCATATATAGGGGTGAAAGTGCCTGCAATATAAAACTACAATAGGCTGCTGTATACAGCCATAATACAGATCCTTGCGTCAAACGTTACTTGTAGAGATAATCCCGATGGCAGCTATCATACAGCTAAACTGGCCTGGACTATAGGCTAGCCCTTCGGCTTCGAGGACACACACGCGTTACTAAAATCACCACATGACACACTGGCTCATTTATACCGAATTGACTTTCGATTGATTCTATCATTCTAGATATTACAAGGTGGCTATATAACTATCCAATGAATGTTTAGATTTTATTCGGGTATATCATACTTTCACAATCTACTGCATGTATCAGTTGATCATGTTATACATTCAAACCCCCGACCTTCGCATCCCGGCCCAGTCAAGCGCCTTAAACCATGTGTAACTGATTATTAACCATGGTAAAGGCCATGGTGGTCTCATCACCACCAACTTTATGACGAAAGGAACAGTCTTTTGATAGAGGGAGACCCACTGGAATGGCATAAAAATTATATATCATAACTGCATATAGGCGTACAAGTACCTGCAATATAAAACTACGATAAGCCGCTGTATACAGCCAGAAACCTACAGATCCTTGCATCAAACTTTAGGAAGTGTGGTTAAGAGTTAAAGTAGATATTCATTGATTTTAAAAACTAACTTTTGTTTCATTATTGCAAAGTTGAATGTTTCGACAAGGTTATCAAAATTCAATGCTTGGAAACATGCGAAGTAATGATTATTATAAATTACAAAACGCTTAAATACAGCCCCGGCATAGCACCCGAAGAGCTCTCCGAACGCTGCTGAGATGTGTGACATCACAATATGGACATGCTTTGCACAAGCAGACGATGTCCCATGACATCTTACACATTTTCAGTGCCTGTTTTTCATCTTCTCTTGAGTTCTTTCTGTTACTTCACTACCGTCAGGCTAAATGTATAATCTATTGCCTCACTCTAAACCCCGCGCATGTTTTTATTTTGATGACAAATGCAGCGATTCAAAAATAAGGAATCTGTCGCTTGTAAACAAAATAAGACGCCATTGTATATTCAGCTGCACACACCGCGGAATGTTCGGAGTTACAAGAGGGAACAAATGCCGTCCTTAATATCATTCCGGGTTTTTTTCAATTTGAAAATCTGGTTTCCTTAATCGTTAATTAACCCCCATCCTGTGTATTTACAAACAAAACATTTTAGTTATCAGAATCGGTTTCATATCCCCTTTTGAATGGTTTGAAATGCTAGCACATTTATATACACTAAACTCATTATATTTGACAAAGGGATGTCGTCTGCTTGGGCAGTATTAGTGGTCCATATTGTGACGTCATTAACAAACAAAAAAACTTTATTTTTCTGGCTTTTCTGAATATCTCGTATATCCCAGCTGCTATGGAGGTGGTTGTATTTGTATTTTTATAATTCACCCGACATGTAGTTGACCTAAAACTTGTACGATGACCATCTGTTAGCTTACCAGTTTATAGTGATACATTAGTTGACATATTTGTGATTTTCTTTGAATTTCCACTTTAAATTTAAGTTTGTGCTACAGACTACAGGCCAGCTTCGAGTGTCCTCGAAGCTTTCGGCTTCGAGGACACACACGCGTTACTAAAGTCACCAAATGCACACTGGCTCATTCATACCGAATTGACTTTCAATTGATTCTATCATTCTATCATTAATAATCAGTTACACATGGTTTAAGGCGCTTGACTGGGGATGCGAAGGTCGAGGGTTTGAATCCCGACACGGCACTAATATCCTTTTGCAAGATATTAACCTGCACTTGCTACTCTCCACCCAGGTCTTAAATGAGTACCCGGTAGGATGCGATCATGAGTTTTTGAGCGCCAAGTAACGCCTGCCTGCAAACTAGGTATGGCCTGTGAGCTCTTATTGCATTGACGACTTTTCGTCAATGCATTGTTTCCGTTTGCGTTCTGAATTCTTCTTCTTCTTAATCTTATTTTTCACAATCCCATTCGTTTTGCAAGCAATGCTTGTGACTTGTGAGCCTAATCTAGGCCCCTTTTTCTTTACTCCTGATTCCTTTCAAAATTTGTAGGCATAGTTTCTAGCATCCAATCAACGTGAATAAACTCTTCGTTTTCTAAAATCACTCATGCGTGGCCGTCCAAGCCCCATTTTGTCTGTTTCACGCCGTTTTTAGGTCATTTTTTTCGGACTACCTATCTCCACTATCCTAGATGCTAAAGATTTTTTCAGAACAATTTACCCCTAGGACAATTACCCCCCCCCCCAGGACAATCCTATGGTGCTAGTCACCTACCCCTTGGACAACCACGCCCTGATAACCACCCTAGAATAACCACCCTCTAGGGCAACTACCCCTAGAGAAACTACCCCCTAGGGCAACCACCCTCTAGGACGACTACCCCCTAGGACAACTACCCCTGGACGACAAACCCCCAGACAAATACTCCCTAGGACAACCAACTGCCAGGACAACTACCCCCGGACCACTACCCCCAAACAACTATCCCCAGGACAACTACCCCCAGAACATCTATCTCCGGACAACTATACTAGAAGGGTCCCACCCTGGATCCACCACTAACTCTCAATTCGTTGCTCAAATATTATGAAGAGAGAGCAAGAAAAATATTATATGTTTTATAGTATATATTTTTAAATAATGTAAAATATTAAGAAGAAATAAGTAAAGAATACAATCATGACAGTAGACAACATGTCATCAATGCTTGATACAAATTTAAAGAATAAAATCGAGTAATGGGTTTTCAAACAATTCTGTAGTGTAGTACAAACGCGTGGAAAACGAAAATGAACTAAAGTTTTATTTTGCGTATATTCCATCAGACCGTGTCTGCTATAATTACCAAGATGCCTCAAGGGAACATTTAATAATCACCTTTTTTATTTTGTAATATCATTATAAATGCATTCCTAACCCAAATGCTTTCATTCAGGACAAATACATTTTTCTCCCACAGACCGAAGCTAGGAGGCCTTGAGGCAATCATTGGGTCATGAAAACACACAATGGCTCCCATGAAAATCCTCAGATTTGATGGTGTGACTTTGTAAACACATTCCTTTCTCGATTTTATAATATGAGAACAAACCTGACCTGCCTTTATAAACCCCCCAAAAAATGAGCGGCCCCCTGTCTAGACTCTACAAAACTCTCTACCGACAATACAGAAACAATTTGGGGTTATCATGTACATTGTAAGCTCTACAGTACAGGCAGTCAACTCATGCATGTCCCTGTCAATCGGACTCACTTTATATGTCAAGAGATTAGCATTTTGGCAGCCCTTCCACTTGGCTGTGCTTCCAACTGCACTGTTACCCATTAAGTTGAAATAATTAGGTGATACGTAACGAAGTCAACGTATCACCTTTTGATTTCGTCAAGATTTTTCTTTATTATTAGGTGATACGTACGTAGACGTATCACCTTTTGATTTCGTCAAGATTTTTATTATTTATTTATTTATTTATTTATTTATTATTATTCTTCCTCGAATTTGTTCGCAGGATATCTCAAGACTGAATAAAGCCATTATCATGAAACTTGCCATGATGATAGATCTTAGTCTAACTTAGAACTGCGTGACTTTTCAAAGACTCAAAATTATCGTGACGTCATCCAGGCGCCATTTTGTGAAAATAAACTTATGATCATATCTTCATAACGGAAAGGAATTTTTCATTCATATTTATCAGGAAGAAGATCAATATCCATCCGGTCAATTTCAGATCAATAAACGTGCGCAAATGCGCGCGTGCGCGTTCGTACGCGCGTTTACGCGCGCGAAAAAAATTAAAATGCTCCAAATCATCCCAAATTTTTTTTGCATACGTTTCAGGCCATATGGAGCATTTGACAAAAAATCACGCAAACGCGCATGCGCGCGCGTTTTTTGCGCGTACTAGCATTTTGCAACATAGAATCGCCGAATGTTCTCTATCATCATATTTGGTACATCTTTCCAAGCATTTTGATAACTTGTTCACCTTTTAATAACGCAATGAGCGTCCGTCAAAGTTGACAGCGCGCGCGGACCTGCGTTATCTTTATCCACAATACATGAGCAAAAACATGTCTATACAAAATTCTTTGTAACTCTTCAGAATAGATAGAAACTCCCAATATTTTTTCATATTTAGATAGGTTATAAGTTGGAGATATGATTTCATGTCTCATTTGACCCTCAATTAACTCATAACGTCATCATAATGGCCTCCAAACTGAAAATTTCAATTTGCATATTATGACGTCAGCATAATTTTGGAAAATTGATTGTATCTCTGTAAATATTGATTGATTTTCTTTTAAATTTTGATATGTTTTACCTGAGACAATTTTCTACAAATAAATAATCCACAATTTTCCATTTTGACAAAGGCATCATGGCGTATTTTTGCAATTAAAGAAGGCATGTCAATTTTTCACATTTTACGTGTATTCTCTATGGGACATGACTTTTTCTCAAAACTGGATTCTACACTCCTGTCTTTCGCGAGCAAAATCTCTGTTGTTTTAGCTTCGTTTTCGCTGAACTTCGGATATGTTGTAGCTGAGACAATGAGCTATCACAAGTGCGCCCTTTATTTTTAGATTAGATGCCGGGATCATGCTCATATTTCACTTGCAAAGTAGGATTTCAGAATTCCATTTCCCGTTTACGTGTAATCGCTATGGGAAATGTTTTGGTATATCGGTAACGCACTTGACTTCCAATCTCGAGATCCCTGGTTCGAGTCCGGGTGTCTCCAACAATTTTTTTCTTCACTTTTTTTTCCTTTTGACCTTCACTGTACCATCTCCTTTGATTATTAAAACACGTAGAATCGCAAATAATGTCACAAACAACCCTTTTTACTTTATTATTACCCTATTTTCACTTAATCCATTACTTTTTGCGTGTAATCTCTATGGGAGATGACTTTTTCTCAAATCTGGAGTCTACATTCCTGTCTTTTGCGAGCAATATCGCCGTTATTTCTGCTTGGATTTTGTTGACTTATGAGTAAGTTGTAGCTGAGACTATATGCTATCTAAATCAACCCTCATTTTTTCAATAAGATGTCATGATCGCGCTCATGATCATGATCATTATCATCATGATCATCATTATCATAATGATGATAATCATTTATCAATTACATTTTCATTTCTTTGAATAAGATAAAATCGTCAAAAGGTGTTCTTCATGATGTAAATTAGAGTCAAATGTGTAACTGGTTACTGCACAGGGTCAAAGGTCATATATTGTTTCAATCTATCTTCCCTAGATCCGTGATGATCAAGGAGACACAATTTAATCTTGACATATGAATAGATCATAATGGGAGAAGCATATAAATGGGAGAAGCATTTTACAAAATAATATATCGTGTAATGCATTATTCGTTATGTAAACCATTATCATACGTATCACCTAATTCGTCTAAGTGACGAATTAAAGTCTAGTTAGGTGATACGTACGTAGACGTATCACCTTTTGATTTCGTCAAGATTTTTATTATTAGGTGATACGTAACGAAGTCAACGTATCACCTTTTGATTTCGTCAAGATTTTTCTTTATTAGGTGATACGTAACGAAGTCAACGTATCACCTTTTGATTTCGTCAAGATTGTTATTTATTTATTATTATTATTATTTATTATTATTCTTCCTCGAATTTGTTCGCAGGATATCTCAAGACTGAATGAAGCCATTGTTATGAATCTTTCAATGATAATAGATCTTAGTCTAACTTAGAACTGCGTGACTTTTCAAAGACTCAAAGTCATCGTGACGTCATCCAGGCGCCATTTTGTAAAAATCAACTTATGATCATATCTTCATAACGGAAAGTAATTTTACATTCATATTTATCAAGATTAAGATCAATATCCGTCGGGTCAATTTGAGGTCAATAAATGCGCGCAAAAATGCGCGTACGCGTAGGCGCGCGCGTTAATGCGCGCGTAAAATTTTAAATTGCTCAAAATCGTCTTAAATTTTTTTTGCATACGTTTCAGGCCATTATAAGCATTTCATAAAAAATCACGCAAAACACGCATTTTTGCACGTTTTCGTTCGTCACGGCCGAACGAAAAATAATTTCTCCGCAAAAGCTTTTGACCGAATATTCCTCATATTTTTTCCGGAAAATTTGATACCATGTTTAGCTCTTTATCACTATTAAAAACGGAATGAGCGCCCGTTCAAGATAACCGTCCGTACGCGCGATTTTTGTAATACATTGCATATATGGGCAAAAACATGCCTATGAAAAGTCCATTGGGATGAATAGGGATTGCCAATTTTTTTTTTCATATTTAGATAGAGTATGAGTCGGAGGTATGATTTCATATCTCATTTGGCCATTAAGTACATCTTAACGTCATCATAATGGCCTCGGAAGTCAAAAATACAAAATTGCATATTATGACGTCATTGTATTTATGGAAAATGTAGTGTATTTCTCTCAATAATCATCGATTCTCTTTGAAATGTCGATATGTTGTAGATAAGGCAATTCTCTACAAGATCGCTTTTCACTAAGTTTCATTTTAATGAGGTCATCATAGTACAAAATTCAGTTAAAGGCCACATGTCAGAATTTTCGTCATTTGCGTGTTATGTCTATGGAAGGTGAATTTCGTTCACATCATGAATCTACATGGCATTCATCTATGAGCACTATCTATCTTATGTGTGCTCTGTTTTCTCCCAAATTGGGGTATGTTATAGCTGAGACCATGGGCTATAAAAAAGGGTGACTTTGTTTTTTAATCAGATGTTGGGATCATGTTAAAATTTTCGATCGAAAGTTGAAATTGCAAATTTTGAAGGGATCATTAGGTGATACGTAAC